GCTTTAAAGTATTATTTAAGAATATGTAATTATTAGTAATGATAATGTATTATTTATAATATAAATAATGATTTATTTAAGAATGCGAAATAGTAAATTACAATTTTACAAATTCCTTAGTTGTTCCGTTTAAAGACACAGAAATTTTCGAAATACTAATTGAGAATTCCGTTAATCACATTATTATATACACTTAGTCTTGCTATCTCTTAATTATGGACGATACCACAATGCGATGTAGCAGTCGCTGTGAAAAAAAAGGAAATGTTAGTCACGCATTGTAAACACGAACAACAGAATAGTGATGCGCTCAGCTATTTAAGAACAAATCATCCTCGCGTTGTTCATTGCATTAGACTTTTATTTCGTGACACAGATAGAAAGCAATCATTTGATATGAAACGATACTCTCGGAAAAAGTTTGTATCTTCATATAATACCCTCGAATTACAATTAGTATTATATATATATATTATAGCTAGACTGCAGATTTTATGCATTTGTGACTAACATGTGTGAATGAAAATATTAAAACAATTTATAAATATCGACATATTATTTTACGAAAAACTCTATTTGATCTAATTATAATATAAGTATTATAATATATAAGTAATACAGTATATATAATAACATGATCTTTTCAATTTTGAATGATGAATAATTATGAGAAGAAGCGATTTAACGATTTCTTACTTAAAAAATGTGGAAAGTACGCCGGAAGCCGTAATATTTTTTAGAAACTTTTATATGGACGTGGATTTCACTATTTTATACTTTTTGGTGCAATTCTTAGTCAATTAAAATTTCATTCCCGGAAGTGTTCTGTTCCGAAGGTTTTCCTCTACGTAGATAAGGATCTATCTCGGCTCTACTTTGATACGTTAGCGTATGATAAAACCTATAAAGATGAAAGGAACACGATCAAGAGCAAACTCATCGTGATTAACCGTAACATAAATCGTGTACTGCAAAATTCCTCATTACAAGGTCAAGATTAAAGATAAAGCTGTGTAGCACCAGGAAAAAGCTCGCGCACTTTCAAAGTAACGACGACGTACATGTCGTTTTATTACCGCAATATTATGCACGTCAACGCGATATTGAATTCTTTCGTCACGCATTTAATTTTTTAAGACGTTCCAGATTATAAACCGCATTATGTATAAATATTGACGACATTGGATATTTAAATGAACTCGTAATACGCACGATTATTGTTCATCGACCATTATTTCGTATAATTATTTATATTATTATAAATTATAATAATATAATTTAATATAATATATATTATTATATATAATAATACTATATAATTTATATTATTATTATAAACTGCATTATGTATAAATATTGATGACATTGGATATTTAAATGAACTCGTAATATGCACGATTATTGTTCACCGACCATCATTTCGTATAATTATTTATATTAATATAAATTATAATAATATAATTTAATATAATATATATTACTATATATATTATATAGTATATATATAGTATTATTATTAATACTATATAATTTATATTATTATTATAAACTGCATTATGTATAAATATTGACGACATTGGATATTTAAATGAACTCGTAATATGCACGATTATTGTTCATCGACCATTATTTCGTATAATTATTTGGCAGCGGAGACATCGTTAGTAAACAAAATTATAAATTAACAAATTCTTTTCCCTACATAAAAGGAATTCAAAATGTGACAGTTTTATTTTTAGATCAACGCCTTTTCTTTTTAACCTTCATTCCTATTTTAATTCGAGCACACAGTCTAATTTGACAACACCTGTTTTTCTCAACATTTGTTTTTTATACGTCGCATATTCGGATCAATATTATTCTGAAACTTTCATTTATTGTCTTTTCTTTTCTCTCTCCTAGGGGTTAAAGATGACCGAAATTACATTTTTATGTTCGAACACGGCCTAATTTGATAACAACCGTTTTTTTAAATATTTATTTTTTACACCGAAACTTTCGCTATCAATGACCCGGTGGGGACTCATTGACATACGTTTATACATCAAACAAGATTCAACATACCAAAACCATTCGTGTTTGCTTATTCAACAGTTGTATTCATTTATTGTATGTACACATTTACATTTTATGACCTGATTCACAAAAAATGGAATGCAATTGGAGAATGATTGCCGCGGCTAATAACTTTGATTAGCGTAAGGATAAACGAAGAATGCGTTAAATTTGATTAGCTCTTGTTTCTTCGGAGATATTTCACTTCCCTGCATCCGCTACGAATGCATAAAATTTGACACAGTAAATTCGTATTTCGTTACGCAGCCACGCGCGCGTCTGTAGATGTGTGTGCGCGCGCGCGCGTGTCTTACTTCATCGTATTGTACGGTAAAGGTCAAGACAAAGGATACTCGACGTGTGAATATCCTTGGTTACGCAACGAATCATTTTCCTTTTTTAAATGTCCGGCTCGCGGTTGCGCGCGCTAAAAGCTGAAACCATCGACGACGGTCAATTGTTTGCTTCCTATTTCGCGGACTTCCGAAGTGCGAGCAACTTAATTGCTCGAATAAAGAATGCGTTCCCGAGGACACGATAATGTCAAGAACAAACTCCCACAATTTACGAAACAATACGTAGTTAATAATTTTGTACGAATCTTTGTATTTCTATCTATAATAGATATTCTCATCTCGTCATTTCAATTTAACAAACGTTCCTACAGGATAAATTGAAAAGGCTGTAAGGAAAAGATCTAGTACATTTCAAATAGAAATGGAAATGAATAAATAATAAGTATTTTTCTTAGACAGAAATATAAGATATATACTTTTTATTTCTTATGTTTTTTATACTTCTTATACATCTTATACTTCTTATATTTCTTATACTTCTTATATTTTTTATATTTTTTATACTTCTTATACTTCTTATACTTGTTATATTTCTTATACTTCTTATATTTTTTATACTTCTCATACTTATTATACTTCTTGTACTTCTTATACTTCTTATATATTTTATACTTCTTATACCTGTTATACTTTTAAAATGTATAATACAGGTGAATATAACTGCTATTTTTGAGGATTAGGAAATTTTCAATTTAGCATGTAGTTTAATGTATTAGATCGAAAAAACGGAAATAAATTTTTAATCCAGAAACCCCTAAGAGTGGTGAGAGTAGTGGCAGTACATCAGCGAAATGAAATTAAACTGCAGGAAGACATTACTGCGGCGCAAGATAATTCTGTGGAATATAAAATTATCAGAGTTTTCTTACAGTTTTTGCAACAATTTCGACGGTAAAATAAAAGGTCAAATCGACGATACACGTGGACTTGGATTTGAAATCATTGTGCTTTGTGAAACAATACGACGACCGCCGCACGCAAGAGTCAACGTACGAGGGTTGAATGCTTCGCAGCCAACAACAAATAAATACATATTTTGAAGGCTAGTGCTTCAGCAGAAGATTACCAATATGGACCTGGAATTGATGATTCCATGTGAGTAAAAAATAAGCGTTTAAGAGTGGCTGGGATGATAAAAAAAGTTGAAGAATAATGTTTTTTCAACTTTATCATTATATGCATATTGAAGATCTTATCGAAATCGATTGACGCAGAATCAAGCTGCAAGCACTGAAAGCTGTAAAAATCTATAGATTTCTTAGAGTTTTTCGTTGAAAGTCATGGAAAACTGCGATTATTGTTATCTTTAATCGTTCGCAGCTCGTAACATAAAATTTTCAATATGTAAATATATAAGTTTCCAAGATTCGAAGTCAAAAAGCACGAGTTTCTCCTATATTTTTCATCCCTAACGCAATATTAAAGAAATATATAAATTGTTATATAATATTGCAATATTAAATAAATATACAATTGCAATATTAAAAAAATATATAAATTGTTACATAATATTGCAATATTAAATAAATATACAATTGCAATATTAAAAAAATATATAAATTGTTATATAATATTGCAATATTAAATAAATATACAATTGCAATATTAAAAAAATATATAAATTGTTATATAATATTGCAATATTAAATAAATATACAATTGCAATATTAAAAAAATATATAAATTGTTACATAATATTGCAATATTAAATAAATATATAAATTAACAAAAATATATAAATATAAAAAATTTTTAGACATTGCTTAGTAAACAAGTCGTTTCGTTCACTTTGGAAATGGTTATTCTGTTTTAAAAGGTGTCCGAATATCGACGAGAGTTACAGCAGCTTTCTACTTCGAAAATTGCTTCTCGGCCAACATTTTGGGAAAGACAACAAGTTTGACGTCAGCGTGACGAGGAAAACAGTGTCCGGGGTACTGGCTAGGGCCGTTAGGGAAAACCGATGGAAAGGTCCGAAAGAAAACAAGGATATTTCAATTACTTTGACGTGCGTCCAGAGGGTCTCTCGTGCATGCATAGGCGCGGAACTGTGTTGAACCCTACGCCTACCGACCATCCTCCTTCCTGACCAGGACAGAGTGGTGGGTCTACCCCCACTTCGGGCCACACGGTTATTCTTCCCTCTCTTCGGCAGGTAAATCCTTCGTCCTTCCTCTCACCTTCGGGACCGCCCTTCTACTCGTTCCTCCACGGATCAGTTCCCCTACCTACCGGTGTCCAGTTATGTTGTCGTGGCGAACGTTGCTGGGACGACAATTCGTTTGAGCATTCGCATCGCGAGAAATCGTCCATTGTTTTTCTTGATTTTTTCCATTCACCTGCCGCTGACTACCCGAACCCGTATAATCGGGACGTGCGACAGTGCGTGAGCGACCGTGAAAAAAAGAGCGGTTCAAACGAAGTTCTTCGGATATTTCGCGCATTTTTCCGCGCCGCTGTCTCGGGGACCGTTTACATTCCATACCCATGCGTGGTCTCCGGTGCTAAGGATCCAGCGATCTCGATCGCGATCTCGCGGGAAAAAGCGCGAGGACCTTCTCGTGGATCCCGGTGATTTTTCTCAAGGGAGCCAGAAGTTTTCAGAGCGGGGACCTGTTCGGCGAGCAGGCATGCGGCGGGCACCCGAGCTGATGGAAAATGGACATTAGAGAGGTATGTAAAGTGCGGAGAATTGCGGAACGGGATCTGTGTCTGGCCTGCCATATTGGAGACGATCATTAGGATAATTAAACGGGGATAAGTTTTCGGACGCGATCCGTTTCCTGCCGTTAGGGGCTTCGTCGCTTCCTTTATGGTCCGTGAGAGAGCGGACCCACCTTCTGACAGGTGGAATGCGGGGACCAACATAGCCGTGGGGCCTGACAATCGCGATCGCAGCGACGCGAAGCGACTCGTTCAGGTATGTGGCTCTGCGTTGCCTGCGACTCCTGTCTTTCGCCTGGGCCCGCAGCTCCTGCCGCTGCGGTTACAGCGATTCGCCAAAGAATTCGAACATTCGTGATTCATCCAGTCCAGGATTTTATGCATTTCTAGCGTGTACGACAGTTTCTTGCAATGCTCCATGGCGTCCCGGCATTTTTACCGTGCCCCGAACCGGATAGAAAGTTCGATCGGGTAAACAGATTCGTTTGATACTGGTTCTCTCGACAAATAAATCTCGAATTATCAGTATCTCTAAATGTGTGTTGTTGAAATTTTGTGTTTTGAAATGACGATATGGAAATTGCGAAGATTCAGGTGTTTGGTAGCATTGTTCTATTAGCAGTTTTAATAGCGTAGATGTGATCATTGAAGGCTTCACGATGTCTAAAGCTTCGTTTCGTTTCGTTTCGCTATGAAGTAAACATAATTTCGTTTGTTATTGGTTTTTGAAAAGTAAACAGCCTAACTATTGGGACAACGTGTTATTGAAATTTTGTGTTCGCGATATATATTCGACATTCAATAAATTGTGAAAATTTAGATGTTCGGTTGCATTGATCCAGTATTTTTGGTAACATAGACGATAGTTTCTTTGAATGCTCGACTATGTCTAGGGTATCGTTTCGTTTGAAATGGACTAGGATCTACGGTGAAGTGAATAAAGTTTTGTTTGATCTCAGTTCTCGAAAAATGCACCGTCTTATTATTAATGTCTGTTAATATGTTATTGGAATTTAGTATTCAGAGGGCGGTATACTCAAAAGATTGAGATGTAGGTATTATATTTGGTAGCATTAGTTTAGTAGTATTTAGTAGTAGTCTTAGCAGCATAGTTCATAGTTTCTTTGAATGTTCGATGATGTTCGCAGATTTTTATTTTACTTGTGACCGGATAGGAATTTCGCTAAAGTAAACCAAGTTTTGTTTGATCCTGGTTTTTGTAAAGTGTTATATCATTGGTATATATTCTTCTGATCGGAAATATCGTGCATGATTCAATATTTAGATGATGAAATATTTAAGAATTCACGAAAATGTACAATGTTTTCTGTCAGCTGAACTTCGTACTATGTCTCGACCAGATATCGATTTAAACGAAGTTGTTTTAGTAATGTTTTTAACATGCTTCAGTCTCAGTTGAAGTATATAAAAGGATAAAACAATTGATAGAATGTTGTTTTAATGAAATAGAACTTTTTAACAGTGTTTTTATGTTCTGCTATAAGAGACATGGACGTTATTATTTGCGAGGATTGGAAAATTGAGGATTAGAATTGATACTCTGAAAAATGTTTTTGATACATGTAGAAAAACAATTTTGTGCTTAACTTTGTTAGAATTTTTATTTTCGCGCATTTTATATGTAATCGTATGTGACGCGTGTCTTGCATAAAAGCATATTATGCATTATTAGATATTTGAGAAAACAGAATTATGCAAAATCTCCTATTGTTATAAATATAACATGAATTTTCTTCTCTGCTAACTCGGATCAGAATTATTAAATCATAGTGGTATAATCAAGAATTGAATTGTCTTTTTTTTAATACTACTGTAATAAAAATTTATCGTAACAGAATTATTAACGTGCATCTACGAAGTGTATAAAATCGACGAATATAATAGATATTTCTTTCAATTAAAGAAAATCGTACATAATTATCCGTTATTCAAACTGAATTTTTGGATACCAATATAAATTTGTATTTAAGACTTCAGTTTCGTAGATTCATGTATTGAAAAACTGTAAAGCTGAAACTGAGAGTTAGCGATAAAGTGAAAGTAAAAATTGGTATGCAAAAAAAGTTGCAAGATTGTGTAAGAAGATCATCACATATAGTTACTTCCGCGTCGTAAGTTTTATTTAGCTCTTCGTCATTCCTAAAACTTGTTTTTGAATCGTCATTTCTAATACATAACAGGTTGGCAATATATATCTTATACGTAAATTATATTATATATTATGGTTTGTGCGGATTATAATAAAAAAACACTAATTAAACGCGAATAAACTTCAGAATGTTTCGAAATTATTAGACTTTTTCAAGTTGAAGTAAGCTTAAGAAATAACTTTGGTAGGTCGCATACGTTCTTAAGACATTGGAAATGAATGCAGTTTTTGAGTTTTTACTGTTATTTATATGCTTCCCGCGTATCAATTTATCATTTGTGAATAGTATGAGTAGTCTTACCACGTACTGGCTCATCATATTCTCAGTTTTCCACTTTCAAAGGTGGAATTTGCAAATTAAAAATTTTATTTTTCTTTGATCTTTAATCAAAAAAGAGTTCCACAATATGGGAACACAAACAATCTTTGAACTGTGAATGATCTATGTACTTTTAATATCAATTTAATGGTTATAATCTATAACAATCTAATGTTATCGCAGTACTACTATTCATTGAGTGATATTCAATATTTGTTACAACATTCCAATACTTCTTCCATATTAACCAATAAAATATCTGATCCTGTTATGGGACAATATTTCTTTTTATGTTTCAAACATTTTATTTCAACTACGACTTTTACTTTCAACATTCGAGGTTTAATCTAAAATTCTTACATTCAAGATCCGGAGTTCTATTTAAATTAAAACTTGTACTCCCGATAACTTCTGTATTATTTAAACTATAATAAATTTTTTACCTTATAACAACGGAAATCCTCTTTGATCTAAAACGTTTTCTTTCAACAACAGAAGATCTATTTAAACGAATGCTTTTACTTCCTAGAACTTAGGTTAACCTGTTCTCATGGAAAACATACGTTTTCATTCGAATTTACGATGTGCGAAACATTGTTTTAAAGAAGTTTCCCGATAGATTTCCCATCAAATAGTTAGTTAAACAAACGTTAATCCTGACGAACATTAATTGAAACTAGAATAATTCAACCTCGAGGGAATTCTGCGTATCGAGGATACGCGCTACACGATATCTTTATCACTTTGTTTCCCGACTTAAAGACCAGAAAAATGCGCCGAAGTCAAAGTAATTTGCTCTATGAAGCAAACCGAAGGCTTTTTTAAACCAAATGCAGCAACGCAAAATTTCTTGATAAATAATCCCATCTACTATTTTTGATCGGGACATTCAAAGCGTTAACATTTGAAGTGTCCTCACTATCTTTATGCAACCCTTATGTCGATTTTCTACTGCCATTAACACGTTCCGTGCCACGTGTACCATCGATGGTACACGCTTGCATGTTTACTTAGTGAACTGAACAAATTGTTTACAAGAAATTTAGAACCGAAGAATCAATTTCCACCGCAAGAATGGGCGTTGATAAGTTTTTGTTACGTTGTTATGTGTACGAGAATTAATAATTGCACGTAATAGATCAAGTTTTAGTAAAATATCAAAGTGTGAAGATTCGAGTAAAAAAAGCTCGGCACGGAACGTGTTAATCCAAGGACGCCTAAGGTATCAAAATGTCTTAAGCCTGCTTAAAGGTGGTTCATTTTGTATCCATGTAAGGAAAAGTGTTATAAATATTAATTGTTATATTATTAAACGATACATATAGGTACCTATTAACGTAGAAATAACATATAAAAAATTGATAAAAGGACATCGTTAGTACAAAAATACATGTTTAAAATTCCGTGGCCATTTTTTGGCCACGAAACCGTTGACCGCGGCGTTAGCTCGCTGGGACTGACAGTGGAGTTTCCGTGTGGACGGTGTCAGTCTTCTTGGATTGACAGTGTACTTTTTTGGGGGCGGCATCGGTTTCCAGGGACTGACAGCGAACCTATCGTTTGGACGACATCGGCGCATGCGACCGGTAGTATCAAGGTTACAAAATAATGCCGGCCTGCCGCGCCTGAACGGAAAACCCGGCAAAATCGGCTCCGCGCTTAACGTGTTAAGCAGGCTACGGTTAATAAAACCTTCTGGACTACATAAACATCATATTCTTCTACAAAAAAGAGAGAGAACGGCACTGGAATCTTGGGGAAGGGACAGAGCTTTTTGCGTATAACCCGAATAAAAAGGTTCGAAGAATGTCTGAAAGGGGCAACGTCGGATGCGTTCTCATTTACGCGGTACAACCACCCGGTTGTTTATTTATTCGAGCCATCGCGTGTTAATGATATTCATCTGGTACCAAAGGATTCCTGAGGCCCTAATGGATCAACATCGGACAGATGGTTTTACGAATTCCCGTCGTCTCAGCGCGCAACAAGATCGTGTCTAATGCGTTAATATGTATCTAAACAAGACACGTAACGTGTACCCTAACTTCAAGTAGTCGACACTTACGTGCGAATTATCGTATTCATACAAGCGATTACCGCGGGCTCGATAAAGGGAGAGAATGATTCTTCGAGTACAGCGCCTGAAATTTCCATAAAGCCACCACGTATTTTGACGAAATCTTCTAATATGATAGTGTATGAACAGCATTTCAGGAATAATAAAAAGAACTACGCGTGCACCTAATTCCGTTTTTATGGGATAGATACGTTCTAGAAAAGAAAACCGTGTAAAAAAGAAAGATTGGTTCTACACCGTTAAAACTTGTGAAAATAGCTGAAACGAGGGGATTCGTACAGGAAACTTTATTATTTTATAAAAACAAAGGTTACATACATACTTACTGTCCTAAATACACCTAGAAATTTATGATTAATGGAAATATTTCGTCCCTGAACGGAATTTTTATTCTTCGTCTATCTGATTCTCATCAAAACGAATCACTTTCTTTTCAAGTTTGA